ATTTTTTCCGGGGCCATTCTTACCTACATTCCAATTTACTGTATGTACTCAATGGTTCTGAAGAGCATACAGATGTAAGTTTACCTTTATTTTGTATGCTATATTTTAGGTTTGATTATATTTAATTTGTTATGATGTATCTTTTGATATAAATAATATAGGCCTTTATGCTGTACAAAAAGTACCATGTAACAGTAGTTTTATAGTTTGGCTGCATTGTGTGTATTGGGCTTTATGATAATTTGGTAACTTAGTAATTAAGTGATTATAGTTTATAGTTTATTCTGTTTATTTGAGTTCTACTGTGTGTTTATAGTTTCCTATTTTTTTTTTTTACTTTCTACGTGAAAGATAATTAGTTAACAATACCTCATTCCACTAATTTACAATATTACATTTTAACTATTTAGTATTACAGTTCAGTGAGTTTCTATAATTAATTTTATAATCTTATTTTCAGGTCAAACTGTATCATTTTGGTGAATAAACTCTATTAACCCTCATCAAGGTGTACGCCTGTAAATCAATTCTTTGTTTTGTCAATCAGAACATGGAGATCAGAACCACACATATAAATGGAGGTTATGCTAGGTACTTCCTGGTACTCCAAATTCTACGAATCGACAGAAGCTTGGCTTTACAGTCGTTATCTGTTTGGACATACTAACTGATGAGTCCATAACGACTCCAAAGATTTCTGCTGGACACAAAGTTTTAATGAAGGCATCTCCTATTTTAATAGAAGGGTCTTCATTTGAGCTACACCTTTGACCCCTGGTGAAAAAAAGGAAACAATGGTGTTCTGTAGCCAACATCATTTGAAAGGCACTCTAATTAAACGATTTTACTGTTTTATGTGATTAAAAACGGTAATAAAATATTAAAAACGATAATAATGGTTGAATTATCAGCGGCACATATTATTAAATATGCATAACAGTACAAAGAAATAATGTGTTAACCTGCTGGTGGGATTTAAATAACAATGAAAAAAGATTTTTTTTTCCAAAAATTCCTCTTGGGAGATTTGCAAGGAGTACAAATCCTGGTTATGTGGTCATATATTTTTATATCAGCCTTGTGCACAACTAAATCTGTAGTTAGGTAAATGCTACCAGGAGTGGATCCAGAGATCTGAAAGTGGGGGGGGGGTTTGCCTGAAAGGGGCCGAAAGTGGGGTAGAAAAAAAATGTTTTTATTTTATTGCATTTATTATATATTTTATAGAGCCAGAAGCTCAGGAAGATATTAGGATGAACGTGGATGATTGGAGGATGAACATCCGGGGAGTTGAAGATCATGAGAAAGTGAAGAAGAGGCCGGTAAAATTCAACTTCGACCCCTCACTTCCAACAGCTCATTCTGTGAGTATTTATTTTTTTCAATAGCCTGATGACTTCAGTCTTTGCGAATTCTTTCTATTGTTTCAATGTACCTATTACTGTACATAACATGTTTTAAGAAAGTTGTGGTACCGTACTGGCAGTACTACTTATACAGGGATGTAGTTACGGTGGTTGGAGGTGGGCGGGGTGACACATCCTTGATGTTTTCCACCTAATAAAGCTAATTTCATGGCCCTCCACCCACCCTCATTAACCCACTTTTCCATCCTATATAATCAACTCTTATTATTTATAGTTTACCAATGTTATCACACACCCATCCTCAAAATGTATATCACACACATTTATTTTTCTTCAGCTACAACCAAAGATACTAGAAATACAAGATAGAGTTCTCCACACAAAAAATGTGTTCCACCGCGATCCACCGAAATGCATGGTGGGAATACGAAAAATGGGACGCCCCCTACAGCTGGATCTAAAAAAACTTGTGCCAAACTTTCGTTACCAAGTCGTAGCGTATTTTATTATCAATTCTCAACAAAAATACTAGATATATAAACAAACTGGAATAGACACCCAGACAGTGACATCGGTGAATACATAACCTCCTTGGTGGCGGTAGAAATCGTTGCTATTATCCAAATAATACACAAAACAATTAAAGCATAATCATGAATCAGTAAAGAATAAAACAACAATACAGCGTAGGATCGCATAACCGGACGCATTCTCAGTGAAAAAGTTTTCCTCCATTAGTGGAAAAGGAAGGGCGCCTTTTGCATTTGGATATACTTAGCAACAGAAGGGCGCCCATGTACGTTGGGCACGAAGTATAGGAAACTTGCATGGTTAAAAAGAAGGGCGCTGCCTACGTTGGGCTCAACCTCCGCCTCATTTTTACAATGCGAGAACCCTATCTTGTATTTCTAGTATCTTTGTTACAACCCTGCTCATATGATTTCTCTACAAAATTCTTCTTATCTCCTCTTATCTCTAATTAGACAAAAATCAACTACCTCAGCCACATGAAATATTTATACTTAAAGATGTGTTCCATGTTAGAATACCAAAAAAATCAAACTATTTTTTGAAATTAACTTGCCCATTTTGAAGTACAGTAACATAAAAGTTATCAACTTGACACAGAAATTAGTGTATTTAAAAAATGTCTACCCATCAGTTTTCAGCGAAAAATGATAGAAACACTTCCAATCACTTGAAGTGTTTTATATTTTTATTATAATTTTTTTGGTTTAAAATTTTTAAATTCTATAATTTCTATGCACCAGTTAATAATTTGTGTGCTATTGCAATATAAGCAAGTTTATTTCAAAATAATTTTTTTAATGATTTTTTGACATTAGCAAGGGACGATACATCTTTAAAGAATTCTGTTCTCAGAACGTAATTAGTATGCATGACTAAGGAGAAAAGTAGTGTCATGATGACCAAATACTCATCTTCACCACCAAGTTATCTGCCAATTGGCAGGTTCATGATAACTGCGACATCCCACCATCTCTCCTAATGTAAAAGCTGCTGTCTTTAACTGTTTGTATGCATTTCCCTTTATTTATTTATTTATTTATTCTGCCTTTAACATGATAACACTTTCAGTAACGCAGTGCTGATCTCACTAGTGGATCACATGAACAAAAAAAGTAGAACAAAAACAAGCATAAAAAAATATACAGAAACTTAACTAAAATAAAAAAGAACCAATTCAAATGAATTAAAAAGAAGGCAAGAGAACAGAGGGTGGTCAGAAAGATATAATTAGTTTTCTGTTTTGATCAAAGTTTTGAAATTTTTTAGTTGGAGATCATTTAATTCTATTTTAATTATGTTATCAGTGAAAGCACCTCTCTTTCTTACTCTTGTTGGTTTTTTCCAATATATTGACCTTCAAAGACAGTTTTAAGAAGGCAATCCTGTCCAATCCATTTGTGTTGTTGCTTTTTATTCCATTATTTGAAATAATACTGAAAATACTGGGATGCCTGTCAACTCACCCCCAGCAAACAAGTTTCTTGGGGTTTGACTTTGTTAGGCGGTGAGTTTGTTATGTGGGCGAGTTTGTAAGGGGCGAGTTTGTAATTGGCGAGATTATCAAGGGGGCGAGATTGCAAGGGGCGAGTTTGCTAGGGGGCGAGTTGACTGGTTCATAAAATACTGAATGATACTGAATGATGCAGAATAAAAATGGATTTTATAAGGAATGTGTTGTACTATGCTTTGTCATTGTAGTATTTGGGCAATGATTTGGAGGAATACAGTGGTCGTACTATCCATGATGATGAAAGTTACGTCAGTCTCCCTCTTATGCCAATCACTAATGTAGTTCTCATCCCAGGCCAGACGATCCCGCTACAACTCATAGAGCCGAGAGCAATCTCCATGATGAGGCATGTTCTCCAGAAGGATCGAACATTTGGCGTTGTTAGCTTTGGGTAATCATTTTCCACTATACTTTGTTTTCGTGTGAAAATTCAACTTTACAGTATATAATTTTTTCCATCTATTAGTTTTTTATGGCCTTTAATTGATTGATTAGTAGATAGCTTTTGATTGACTTTGTATGGACAGAATGATTGATTAGATTAATGGTCTACATTTATGTACAATTGGTTGATGGCCTACCTTAATTGATTAATATACTAGTATATAAAAGCTTATTTTTATAAATTTATTATTGTGTAATTCATTTAGTTTGTCCTAGTATCAAGTTTACCATGTTATAACATTAGTGTTATTGATTAATCTCTCATGTATTTTAAATCACATTGTAGATGCAATCATCTTTGTATGCTATCAAGTTGTTATTATCAAATAAAAATAATATATATTATTTTTATACTGTAGAATGATTGATGTTCTATTGATTGATGGCCTACTGTATGTATTATATTATATATATTATAGAATGATTGATTGGTTGATGTCCTATGTAGTTTAGGCCTACTGATTGGTTGATGTTCTATGATTGGTTGATGTCCCCTGATTGATGTCATATAGATATGCCTAGTGATTGGTTGATGTCCCCTGATTGATTAATTGATTGATTGATTGATGTCCTATGTGGGCCTACTGATTGCTTAATGTCCTAAAATTGAATACAATAGTAACTACCGTTAATTGAATAATGCCCTATGTAGATATACTGTAGGCCTGTCTATTTCATGAATATTTTACCTGGATAAACCGACTAATTGCCTGTTTTCTCTAAAATATGAACACCCTTCTAAAATGAAATAGAACAGTCGACGTTCAGTCTCTGGCACGATGAATTATTTTTCCAGAAACCCTGATTTTTTTTTTCCAAAGACAACTGATTGGTTTATGTTCTATATTAGACACTAATTGATTAAAACTATGTGGATTGATATCTTAAATGATAATTAATAAATTGATTGATATCTATAGGTTTTATGGTAGAATCAATGATTAATTGATCATTTTTTTTATTATTGATTGAATGATTGATTGGTTGACTAAATTACTTTATTGATACATAAGTGATTCTATATCTAATTGGTTGATTGATTTGTGATATATTTTAGAATGATTAATAATTTGATTGATTGATTAACTTGTTACAACATTAATAGAATAATTAACATCATATTGGCTTGTCTTTATTGATAGAATAGCCTATTTTTACTAATAGAATGATCAACACTTTTATTTATTCATCCTCTGTAGATTAATTAGGTTATTAGGGAACTTATGTATTCAATTCAATTCTATCGTTCTTTTTTATTTCAAAATCAATAACATTTAAAATTGTACTTTAAAAATAAATTATAAAATTGAATTTGAAAATATCAATAACATTAAATACATATTTTTCAATTTGCTTATTAAAAAATTGGCCACGTTTTATTTATTATTTTATTTATTTTCTTGTTTAACCTGGGTTAACAACTCAGTTGAAAACTAACAGTTACCCTTATGTGGTCAGGGTACGATACACAAAACATAAATCCTTATCTACTTACTTTAATAATAATAGTATATTTCATAAGAAAGAATAATTCATAATGACAATAATAATAATAATAATAATAATAATAATAATAATAATAATAATAAATAATAGTATAACAATATTAATAAAAATTAATAATAATAATAATTGTTGTTATTATTATTATTATAATTAATAATAATAGTATATTTCATAAGAAAGAATAATTCATAATGGCAATAATAATAATAATAATAATAATAATAATAATAATAATAATAATAATAATAAATAATAGTATAATAATATTAATAAAAATTAATAATAATAATAATTGTTGCTGCTGCTGCTGCTACATTAATAGGATTAAATACCGATAAGCCAACAATAAGATGCAATATAAGTTCTTTTACTGTCACTACTACTATAATAATGCCACATTATGCTCTCTATATTTCCATTACTAAAATAATATTTATATTTAATTGATTAATGTCATTTATTTTATTGGTTAAATCTACTACAGTATGTTTATTTGTTGATTGTTGGCAGTTGTTATTGATTAATTGGTTGTGTGTATTATTGTCCAAAATTTTCTTGCAAATACAACAAACATAATGCATTATAAAAATGGTTATACTAGTTATTCTGAGCTGATCTATTTGGAGGTAATGAATATTAATTAATTGAGGTAATACATTATTCATTTATATTTGTTGTTTTGTAGACGTGATTTGGAGCATGGTGTATCATCAGTAGGCACGACAGCTGAAATTTACAGTGTTAAAGAAATTAATGAAGGCGGATTAGAAAGTATGAAGATTAAAGCAATGGGAAGGCAGAGATTCAAGATAATGGATATCACAAGACAAGCAGATGGGTCAGTAAAAAAAGCGGTCTGAAAGGGCCGTACATACAGTGGCGGCGCCTTCGGGGGTTAGATCGGAGGAAATTTTCCCCCATCGTCCGATGCTATGACGAGGTGTTTCCTTAAAAAATATTATTTGCCTATCCAAATAATGTTATTGTCTATCCCTAATAATGTGTTTTAAAAGCACAATTTTTAGCCATTATCATCATCATCATCATCATCAGTGAGTTCCATATCCATCAAGGATTTATGATGCCATGATTTTCCTCCCTTTTGTTCTGTCTTCAGCTTGTTGTTTCCTCATAACTTCTGTTCTTCCATTCACATATATTCTTCACCCCATCTTCTTCTTGATCTTCCCCAGTTTCTCTTTCCTTCAGATTTTTGGCCATACTGAGCTATAAAGTCTCTCCCCATGAACCTAACAGCTATTTTAGTTCCGGGACCCTGCCGAAGCTCAGAACCCTCAGACAGTAGTGGCATATGAAGAGGACAGTCATCTTCCATTGAAAATGTCAAAAGCACCCCCCTCACTTAATTATTGAGGGCCCTTTCACTTCATTTTCGCACCTCCTCCCCAATTTCAAAACTCCTAGAGCCCTGTAAACTCAGACTTAGGCCTAGACCCTAGATATTCTTTAATCTGCACTTATTTATGACTCCTTGTTTTAGTTTAAATTTCCCTCTAAAAAATAATGGTATGGTGTGTTTATTTAATGATCTGAGTTTTCTAGTTCTAGAAAACTCAGATCTGAAAACATAGATTGTAGATCTGAAATCTGACTTTTTTAGACACCCCTATATGCTTTGTATAAAGGTAAGGTGATTCAGACTGTTCCAGTGTGTTGATTTGCCTATTAGATTTGTTAAGCAATATTTAAATTTGTTTAAATTTTCTTTTTCAGAAACATGGTGGGCAAAGTGCAAATTCTTCCAGACAAGGATATTGTAGATCCTCTCCATGGAGCGAGGTTTAATTCTTACTACCAAAAGAGAGCGCTTTCACCAGTTGAAGAATCAATGAATATTTTGAATCCAAAGAGACGAAGGAACAAATTGTTAGAAGCTCACTTGACATGGTGGCCTCCATGGGTGTATCAAATGTATGATCCTGTAAGCATATTCAAAATTAATACCCGATTTAAATGTCAATGTAAATGAGTATTTATTTCTTTTATTTATTTGTTCTTTACACTTTATACCTCTTCAGTAAAATATTAATATTTTCACAGAGGACCCAAAAATGCACAAAACATTATAAAATCACAAGATATCATTATGTGACAAGGGAAATTACCTTCTTTCAAAATGGGATAAACCAATTTCCCCCTATTTATGTTAATGGCATAATCCTTTATCTATTTTCCATGGCAACAGGACTTCTAAGAAGCTAATGGCTATTTTACATAATTAAGTCCTTGTTTTTTATTTACTTTATTTTATTATTACATATTTATTTTTTTTCATTTTTTCTTTTTTTTCCTTTTAGTTAAGATTTTAAACTTTAGAATAATATTATTTTAATTGGATTTGGATTTTTCATTACTAGTCTCTTTTTTTATTTTATTTTATTTTATTTATTTTATTTTTTTGTTCTGTTGTATGGTCGAACCTCTCCTGCGTGAGAGTGTTCCTCTGCTTTGAAAGAGAGAGCCAATAAATTATTATTATTATGTACCCATTTTGAGTCCTTGAGACATTTGCCAATACACTGCAGAGAAGAGAAGTCCACATAGTTCATCGCTCTACGTTTTCAAGTTTTCCTACTGTTAAATTACAATGTTTATTATTAGATCATGGTTATGTAAAGATTCTCCTGTCAGACTTGAAGAAGAATCCTTCTGGAAGACATCAATCTTGCGGTTGGCACCCTAATTCCCGGGAACTTATTAAGAACAACCATCGAAGAGGTAATAGTTGCTGAACAGCTGACCGCAGATGATGCAGCCACAGATAACAACACCAATGCGACAAATACACTACCAAACTTTCCCAAGTTAGACTTAGTTGACTTACAACAGTTCGATCCAACAATAGGAAAATGGGTAAAACGATGGAAGACTGGTAATCCTCCCACAACTCGACAGCTGAGGAAAGAAGACAAAGTAACACGGAAGTTATTTAGACAATGGGAACGGCTATCAGAACACAATGGGGTACTTTATCGTAACCTTACACATGATGGTCAACAACTCAAACAACTTCTACTTCCAGATGTACTCAAGTCCAAACTTCTTAACGCAATTCATGATGATGTCGGACACCAGGCCAGTGAGAAAACAATAGCTCTAGCACGCAAACGATGTTATTGGCCTGAGATGGAGGTAGATATACAGATGTATTGTAACGGTGTATCCTATCTAAAGCCGGAAAAAGGTTGAAACCAACTATGAGTTCTATGATCGCAAAGAAACCACTCGAGATTGTCGCCATTGATTTTACTGTGCTAGAGTCGAGTACTAACAGAATTGAAAATGTTCTTATTCTAACAGACGTTTTTACAAAATTCACCCAAGCGATACCAGCAAAGGATCAAAAAGCAACCGCTGTCGCTAAATTACTAATAAACAATTGGTTTGTACGATATGGAGTCCCAATTTGAATTCACAGTGACCAAGGAAGAAATTTCGAGAGCAAACTCATCAAAGAACTATGTGCTTTCTATGGCATAAAGAAAACGAGAACAACACCCTACCACCCAGAAGGGAATGGTCAATGTTAGAGGTTCAACCGAACAATGCACGACAGACTATGTACGTTACCTCCTGAAAAAAAGTGCAAGTGGCACGAATTCCCTCCTGAACTCGTGTATGCTTACAACTGTACACCACATTCTTCCACCGGCTACTCTCCTCACTTTTTATTCTTTGGTCGCGTACCAACACTGCCAATCGATCATATTCTAGGTTTGGATAAGTTGAATGGCGAAGAAGGGATAACAGATCATCACCAACGTTTGAAGACCGCATTTACGCTCGCTCAACAAATGACAGAAAAGGCAGCACTACAGAGACACGAAAGAAATAACCGGAATGCTCATGCTACTGACCTAGACATTGGAACTCGTGTATTTTTGTGGACTCGTGTGCTTGGCAGAAAAAAGATTCAAGACACATGGAATGGTACTCCATATAAGGTTATAGCTAGACCTAATCCAGAGGGGAATGTGTATACTGTCGATCCTGTAGATGGCGAAGGTCAAACACAAACCGTGCACAGACGAGACTTATTAGATAGCTGAGAACTAGTGGAGTTTATCAAACCTAAGTCATCAGATGCTGAAATTAAAGTTGTAAATAAAATAACACCTACTAACACCTCACCTCAACAAACAAAAGAAGAAGATAGTGATGACAGCGTTTACGAGGTAGTTTTCAAGACACCAGAAAGTAACATGTCTACAAGTGATCCACCACATGCTTCAGTCAAAGCTGGGGAGCATATCCCAGCTCCAATTGCAGATCCACCTCCCGATACACCATCAGTTTTACCAGTCACTCCGCCACAATCTGAAAATCCAGCTGCAGCAGTGACCAACAGCCAAACTTCGCCCGGTCCGACACCGACACCCAGTGCAATCAATTCATTGCCGGAGACAAATTGTACAGAGATTGTTCCGAGTGAAACAATTTCAGTTACTCCCAGTGAACCACGACGTTCCAGAAGAATCCAAGGCAAACCACCGATTGCTGAAGAAGTTTTGGCGGAGGTTGGCAAGTCTCACCTTCTGCTGATGCAGATGCTCGCAAACCAGTCACAATCTGTGTAACTTTTCTAATATGTATATAAACTTTACTAATTTTTTTTTTTTTTTTTTTTAATTATTACTTAGGAAATATTTAGTACAGTATATTGTTTTAAGGAATTGTCGAGGATGACAATATTTTAGCAGGGGAGTGTGTGACATGTGTATTCTGTCACAAGGGAAATTACCTTCTTTCAAAATGAGATAGACCAATTCTCTCCCCCCCCCCCCTATTTATGTTAATGGCATAATCCCTTATCTATTTTCCATGGCAACAGGACTTCTAAGAAGTGCTAATGGCTATTTTACATAATTAAGTCCTTGTTTGTACCCATTTTGAGTCCTTGAGACATTTGCCAATACACTGCAGAGAAGAGAAGTCCACATAGTTCATCGCTCTACTTTTTCAAGTTTTTACCTAAATTTAGCCAGGGTGAGTTAATTATCTCTCTTGTATATAAATATCCTATTGTTAAATTACAATGTTTATTATTAGATCATGGTTATGTATAGATTTGATATAGCAAATAAGTTGATTATTGTATCACTACTTGTGAGATATTTACTTTGGTGCTGACAGATTAAATCAGAGGAGTTATGCACACATTATGTTTAGTCTCTGATTGCAGGAAGATTATTTTACTTAAATTATCTTTGATTGTAGGAGGATTATTTAGGATAACAATTTATAGTGTTTCAACCATGAGTTAAATAAGGCATTTGACGGATAAATTTATCATATTGATACGTGTTAGTATATAGTAAATATACTTAGGCCTATGCTTATATTAATTATCTCTCTAAATGAAGTTTTATGATGTTTCTATACTTATTTATAATTGTATTAAGTGATTTGTATTTTTTGTAGCCTATGCTAACTAATAGTAACCTTACTTTTAAGAGTGCTATGAATGCACTAATTGTTTTAGCCAGTGGTATGTGGTCAAGGCAATTGACCTTGAGATAGTTGAGGAAAATGCTACACTTTTACCATCTGCTGATGTAGAGCATAGCCTGAATAGGAAGGTCAAAGTTCGTAGACTTATCTTTTACTTTTAATCTTTTTTTATCAATTTAACTTACCTTTCTTTTAATTGTTTATATATTTAAAACATGAAGTTGTTTACTAAGTGAAACCTAGACATAGCACATGTGTGCTATATACAGTACATCTTTTTCTTCAGTTTATGAGATTTAATTATTTATCATTTAGTAATTTTAGTTCACCATTATGCTTTTTTTTATACCGACATTTTGTTACATTAATTATCATTTGTTATGATAATAGTATTATTTAATTGTTCAAAAGTTAAAAGGTACTTCCTTTATTTTATATATAGGGTCGACTTAAGTATTGTTTAGCATTTTAGCTGTTTCATACATCTTTTTTATCACAGGGTTTTGTTTTGTTTTTTCTTTTCTGCACCTTTTGGTTATGCATTAGTTTCCGATTGATTTCGGAACTATCCATATTGTGATGACCGACGTAATAAAAGAATCGGGACACCTTCAAAGAGCTTCGAAATGTCATCTTATTTTGCGTCTCACAATTAAAATAGAAGAATAATAAAAAAAAAAGGAGATAACTTAAATCACTACCCCCTTCCTCCCAACAATTCCAACTTTAGAGTACCACTAAAAGTGATATTCCTTTACCAGATTCAGTTCTGACTTTGAGCAAAATTAACTGAAGTCAACTGAAATGAAAGTATTTGGAGAAAAAGGACTAAGCATTTAAGGTGAATAAAATGCTCATTTCTCCTGTCATTAAACAAAAGACCAACCATGAGAAGTATGCAATTGATCTAAATTTGTTCAGTGAGTAGCCACAAGAATAACACATGCTGCTCTATTTTGTAATTTACCCAATAAACTCTTTTCCAGTATCTGCATAAAATCTTTTCAGATCTATAGTAAATATAAAATATTATATTTGCATTATGTATATAATTTCTCTTGATTACAGTAGATACTAAAGCTACATACGTTAAGGTGTTTAGTGAAACATGCTTAGTATCAAAATGTTAAACATGTTTGTTGACATTTTTTATTATAATCAGAGGCAGTTGTTTTTCATTTTAAATTCATGAAACACTTTTAGTGATTCTAAGTTCTATTAAAGTAGTCAAATGGTTTTTATGTTTGTTTACTTACTCAGGAGTACTTAATGGCATTGATTAAGGAAGAGTTGAGAAGCTGGTATGAGGGCTCAATTAAACTTAACACAATCCCACAAAACCCATCAGGTACTGTCAAGAACATCATTTTTTTTATTTCAGTGTATTTAAATCCCTTTCCACACCATCATATTTCATTTGATAAATACTATACAGTAACTGTTTGCCCATATATAGTCATGATGTGCCTATTTATGGTCATAGTGTGATGATGTCATCATAACCATATATGTCACATGTTTTTGTCAAATAAAAATTGATAATCTGACTATTAAATTTGAAATATTTGTTTGCAGATTTTTCTTTCTGGGTTGCAAGCATTATTCCAATAGATGACAGTCAACGACTTTCATTATTGAAGGTGAACTCATCCGTGCAAAGAATGAGATGTGAGCTAGATTTATTAAAGAAGGTATGTACTGTTATATTGTATGTATTATTTATTGACGGTCATTGGCAATTCTAATGGAGAACGCATTGCCACGATGCACATGCAACAGATAGTCACCAGATGGTCTCATATCCTTGCCGTCAATAGCATAACTTATTTACCTATACGTCATGCAACTTGTTTTAATCTTTTGTCACTCTATTGTATATATTGTATATTATTAATTTAAATATTTTGTTTGCACTGTATATATAGTTGTCTTGTAATTTAATCTCTATGTGCTGTATATTTGTGTCTCTTCCTTGGTCTGGAAAGCAAATTACATGTATTTTTGCTTGTATATGACAATAAATAAAGTCTTGAATCTTGGGATTGTTTTTAACGACGATCCGTTTAGACTGCCACCAACAACCAGCAGCCGGCATCGCTTCGCTTAGAGCTCACATGTAGCGGAGTTTGATTCATTTATGGGTCTCAGCATACATGTTTGAAGTTGCAAAGATGTCAAAGTGTGCACTAATTGAGAATTAGTGCATTAGTGATGACATCATATTAGCTTATTAAATAATTCATGTTAAATTTTTTCCCCATAGTGTACCGTATTATGTTGTAAAGGATGTGGCCTTCAGATTGCCAACAAAAATGATGTCTTCTGGTATGTTATTTACAATTTCTATTAGCTGATTTCCATAGAATCGCTCACCCTAACGGCGACAGTTGCTGACAGGTATCGGAAAGGTTGCATCTGGTTCAACTTTGCCGATTGTGTTGCAGACTAATTGGGGTGCATTGCTAGTTGCCCCGATGCTATCGGGAATTCACCTGTTTTGTCTGCAACGCAATCGGCCAATTTGAATCAAGTTCAACTTCACAGCTGTTGGCGACTGTCGCCGATAGGGTGAGCGATTCTGTGGAAACCGAGCCGAGCTTTACATAGAGTACTAGTACTTTAATGTACCACTACTACTACAACCACCACTACTACCACCCATTATTCTTTAATTATCTCATAACTTACTAATTATTCCATCATCAGTTTCGACAGTACAATACCTTGATATTTTAATACATACTTAAATCATCATCGTAATTCCCACCATCATTTTCACTACTGCCGTGTTAATTCTATTACTCTTCATCATCATCATCGTCATCATCATTTAAACATTTTTTTTATTGAAGTTAATATAATTGTTACCATTATTAGTATTATAATTAATTTTTATAATCATTATTATCAATATTGTAGTATTATATCCAATATTATATACCTCATAGGTAGATTCTAGGCATCTGATTGGTTAGGAAGCAGGCAATAAAAAGTACTATTCCCCTGTAAAAATACTATTCCCCTTAAAAATAGTACTGTTTTGACCTGTCGTGTGGTGCAAACCTGTAGGCCCCACCATTGCGCAGATCACACACATTTTGTAAATCTTTTATGAGCGTAAATGCAATAATATTGGTAAATAATATTTAAATATAAAAAAACCTTAAAAAATATATTTTTTTCTTTTTTACATTATTTAGAAATATAATGGAATTTAAACCCCTAAAATCCTGGTGAAAAATCACTCTAACTTGTTATTTTTCATTATACCTGAAGTCTAAAGCATGCCCTCCTACTGGCAAAACTGGATATAATGCCTACCATCAGATTTTTCATGCTTCATTGACTTTTGTTTTAATTTGGAAGAATGCATTATGTCCATTTTGACTGAGTTATAGGGAAAGAAAATCATCAAAAAGTACTTTAGTATGTTTTTCTGTCGTGGAGTTAAGTACATTTACACAAAAAGTCAATAGAATTCATTTCCATGACAAAAGTCTAATAAGAAACGCGTTTTGTTCAATATCTTAAAACTATGATTTTCGCTTATAATGCATTCTTCCGAATCGCAGTATACTTTGTGACGAAGCAGATAGCAAGAGCACCAAAAAGACAAGTTAAGTGTCTTGTCAATTGTTGACAAATATTGCAATATTGAAATTGAGGAAATGAGTGAAGAAGAGCTAGGCTTTGATCGCCTAGGCCCTAGTTAGTAGGGCTCTATAGGCTAGGCTATAGGAAGTATAGTACTTTTTTGGGCCTTGTAGAATCTATGTATCAATTATATAAAACAAATATTGACTGCTCTAGATTTGGGGAACGATGAAATCTACATGGTATTGCCCCTTGTTGATCAGTGGCAGCGTCAGGATTTCCCCGATGGGAGGGTTCCAAGGGAGGGCTGATGTTCTCGATGAGAAAAAAGTGGGCGTGGTCAGGCATCGCTAAAAACTTCTTGAAATGTCCAAGGGACATAGCCCTCCTGAAAATATGACAATTTAGAGGTGATGTGGAGACCGACCTATCTTTCCTCCGGAAGATAGGCTACGATTTCCAAATCACATCGGGGCAATAGATTCCACCATTCTCCTCGTGAGCAGTCAATAGCTGTATATTCTTTCCCAGTATTTGTATTTTTATTTTTTTATTACCATTAAGAACATAAAATATTGTCATTACCATAATTGTCAATGAAGGAATCAATTAATGTATTGTCAATGAATTGCAGAATTTTTATGTTTTATAGCATGTCTTTAGATGGCCCCATGGCAGCCTATGTCAATCCCGGTGGATACATCCATGAAACATTGACTCTCTACCGTGCACAAAACCTCAATTTGATTGGTCGGCCATCAACAGAAAACAGCTGGTTTCCTGGGTAAGTATTAGATGCTATTGTGAATGTTTTTTTTTTTTTTTTCATTATAGCTACTTATAGTTTGAAACATTGGATGATGATAGGTCAATGGTTTAATAGTGTTTTGCCAGTATATCAGAAGAGTTGAACCTGGTAGAAACTCTGCCATTTCTTGATTGCTTCAGTGACAGTTACGTAGCATAGTGATTTCTGTAACAACAGTGTTGTAATTTATGGAATCCAATTTTTATCATTAGTAGGAAGAATCACTCATAGCTATTGGCCTAATAAATATTAATATGTTATAATTTATTTAAGATGAAAAATTATATATAGAAAAAAAAGGACAAACAAAATAGAATGTTGGTTAGTTTTAATACGTGCTGGAATTTTTGGTTCCACTGTAAAAATATGAAACACTAGCAATAAAAATAATCAATTGAAATTTAAAATGTTGCCTAAAAATACAGGAAAAGACCAGTGGTTGCCACATGGAATGTTACTCTTTTACCTGTAAACAGTATGTATAAGTTCTACTGTTTTCTCTACTCTCTCCGTTCCACGCGCCTCAGGATATTGGTTAAGTAACAATTATTGTTGTGTCTTCTTAATAATGTTTTATGTTTCTTAATAATAATAATAATAATAATAATAATAATAATAATAATAATAATTGTACTTATTGCTACATATTGTTAAGCCCTCTATGTACTTCACATATTCATTAGCCCTGTTATTGGATTAAATGCCTATGGAGCACAGACTTAACCTCCCTAGGGGAGTATTCCATAATGTTGCAGCATCATCAACGTTGCTACATCAGCGCATTTTGTCATTTACCCCTACCAGGTACCCACTTATACTCCTTAGTGGAGAGAAGCAATACAGATAAAGTGCCTTAACCAAGGACACAAGTGAAATTCATAGCGAGAGGGATGGAAATCCAGATGTTAAGGTTGGGAAACCAAACCGTTCCCGCTGTGCCAAACCACTACTCCACTATACTACATAATATCTTATCTACTTTTTGTCAAAGGCTTATTATAATTTGACTTTTATGCTAGTATTTCATTTATTTTGGCAGGTATGCATGGACAATCATTCAGTGTCGCCACTGTTCAGGTCACATGGGGTGGAAGTTCAAAGCAACAAAACGCAAGCTAAGACCCGAGAAATTTTGGGGTCTGACACGATCTGCTTTGATGCCAAGCATGAGCCAAGAAGGAGGGGAGACAACGTCATGGCAACCTGTCTTATGAGGAAAAATCTCTTCCTGGTAATCCAATCAAATTGGAAACTGCTTTTAGTTTTATATATAGAAAAAAAGATTAATTGTTTGTGTGTTATAAATGTTAAAACATTTTCATCTGGCTTTTATTTATTTCATTATATACAATGTTCATTTTGCTAGACCATAAAATGAAAGTGTTAAATCCGCGCTCCGGAGGGAAAAAACATTGATATGCTGTTTAGCTGATTTTTTCAAGACACAAAAATTTGTTCGAAAATAAACTCGGGAAAGGTTAATGAGATACAAATTTTGGAATATTTCAAAAAGTGGAGAGAATAGGGCTTAACCGTTTTTTGGTTTTTTTTTCTGCCTAGGCCTAGACTGGTGTAGCCTAGGCCTAATAGGCTATGCAGCAGTAGCAGACATATACATATCAATCACAAACAAGCCTCTACAAACAAATCTTCGCTCTAGTGCTCAAATGTGCCAGTAGACCTGCATAAGCCACATTACAAAGAGGCAGTGTCTACAAGAACTTGCGTGTGACCATGGCTCAGCTTAACAAATGCAACGTCCAGTCATGGCGGACCTAGGTTTATTTTCTTTCTTTGCTGAAAAATATTATTTAGCAATTGTTGACTAGTTCTTAAATTACCGTGGAATAGTCTATTTAACAGTAATACATTCCACATAACCTGTGTTTAACCAATAATAATTATAAAATATACAGTTAAACCGCTGTGTGCAACCAACCGCCTCTCGTTGGCAACTACCTTTTTTAATCGACTACATGCCAAAAGCCTTACAATTTTGAATTATTTGTAGTATTTTACGTCTGGAAAGCAATCATTTTTTTTAAATATTTACCTGAGACCCCAACATCCATTTAATTTTGTACCTCACATTGTGTGAATTCTTATAATCGACCACCTTCCATGCGAAACAGAATGATTTTATATCGTGTACAGTATAAATTTTGTGTAAACATCATTACTGTTAAATTTTGCACGATACACAGATAATAATTCAAATAAAATGTACACATTAGTGGTGTATCGGAGGGGGATTGAGGTAATAGTCCAATACTTTCAAAATTTCAAAAATATGTTTTTATGCTCTCCCTATTTCAACAAAATAAAGAAACAGCGACATTAGTATTATTACCAGATATGACATTATAAGCGACCTAGTCCGCCTTCCATAGTGAGGATGTATCTAGTCTAATTTTACCTATTCTGCAAACCTTACACATTGAACAGAAACACACTGAAATGATAGATTTGAAGGTCTGCTTTAATTCCCCAGCTCTGCTAATGTCTGTATTCGTTGTTATACGCTCAGTTTTTTTTTTTGCTGCTCTTAAATGATTAGATTTGTGATATTTTGTAGATTGCTTTACCTAAATATCAATCTTGCTGTTTAGGCTGATCCAAAGTATTTGGTAGACAAAGAATATTAGTGCCAATGAGAACGGGTAATTTATATCAGGATTTCTGATGAAGGCACAACAAATACAGGAAAAGAACACTATTGCTGCTCACCATTAATTTCAATATCAACGTCGACTTTTCCCAAATGAGGCATTGATTCCCCACTAGCCGTTAAAATTTCAAGTGAGTTTGGTTGCAATTTTGATTTAAATGTGTGTCCACAACATTAACAGTTGTAATTTAGGAGGCGTGTCAAAGGGCGATTCGTCAATTTCATTAAAGTTTTACCACAGTAGTGTTTGTAGAGCCAAATAGTGAATGTCTCTGTGTTGGTCTGACGATGCCTAGTATTCCAGTCCGGAAGCTAACACAATGATATGCACATAGACGGTAGCGTATCATTTCTACATGCAGTTTAATATTCAGAAATGTAGTAAAAGATGTAGAGCAGCCCAAGTCCCACTAGCAGCTATTACACTAAAAGTACATGAAAATATATGAATACAACCCAAGTCCCACTTGGATAGATTTACACTTTCTTAGGTGTCCAAGTAGAAACTTCCCATTATTGTTATCTATGTTCCAACCACATGCCTTCCATTCCTATACAAATTCTTCTCATTATCTTCTTATCAAACTAGTACCTCACTTCCCTTGTTGTCCCAACGATTGACATGTAAAGATAAATAATAAATAACAAGTTCCAAAAACAGGGCCTACCACTGAAATCTGAATCAATGGAATGATTGCTATCAAAATATATGGAAGAAAGCAAGGCTGTCCAATTGTAAAACAACATATAAAATAGGGCAATGCCATTGACATGCATACATGGCTAATGATTGAAATAGCAAATTCATGCATAAATCTGACCAAATCATGGAATAAACCCCATGCTACATCACAATTACGCTGCCTACTCTTGTGGCAGGGGTTTACCGTTTTAGAAATTTGGGGGAAAATTGATATGTCCTGATTACATTGATAACATACTTTTTTAGGGTTAGTGAACCTCAAGGGGCCAGCAAGGCCAGCACTTTGTATTTGCATGGCGGCGATTGAGTGTCAAATTTCAGTGAGGTCCACCCATAGAATGGTGCAGGCCGCACACTTTGTGCCTGGTTTCTTGGGAGTGGTTGGTCAATAATCTGTTCTTTTTTAAAAATGCGAACGTTGCCAAAAAGTGGGCAAAAAAGTGCCCAACATTGGCTGGTAGCAGGTATTCCATATTGTTATGTAATTGGGTGTGTGTATTGTTGTTCTTGTTGGGTAGATTTTGCTCACTCAAGTTTTTTCCTGTTTCTGTACTTCTTTACACCCTGGTGATACTAAAGTTTAACTCGGAGACAGTATATTGTTTCTTGTACTATATGTGTACTTTATTCACTAGTGACTACATATACAATATTTACAAGTTGGTTGATTTGGCGTTGCCTTAAGGCATCAGAAGGAGGTCTCTTTACGATAACTATGCTTGCCTCCTAAAGATACCACTTTGGGTGTGGTGGTCATTCTTATTGGTTGAGGGATGTCATGTTACCCTAATCACTTGACCATCACTTTTGGGAGTTTCTATTGGTCAAATAATATCCAGGCTTCCAAAACTTTGGGAGGTAAAACTGATACTTAATTGATGGTTCTGTTTACAAAATTGGTTTTATAAATAGGTGAGAATTGTCATTTGATGAAGATCCAGCTATTAGTCTTAATTATATAACTCTTCAAAACTGATCACATCAAAGAAGCCTTGGGTCCCTTTATTTTGGTTTGCACATGATGGCCGCCCTTTTCTGAATGACCAAGGCGGTGCAGACATTCGGCCATTTCTTGAAAAACAGCCTTCTTATTGCCAGAACTTGATTACTTGATTATTGAGCACTTGACTTGACGCTTTTAGCCATTTCTAATATTTCATTATTGGTAGGTTGGCGATTCCACGGAGGACTGTAAGCAACAGAGACCATATTATTTATTGTTCCTCGTATTATTCTATGTCGTAGCTCAACCGGTATTGTTCCAGATTTAGCCGCAAAGTCGACATTTGTATCTTGGTATATAGTATATTCCGGTGACTTCGCGTGAGACAACTAAGGTCTCTTCACTGACGGAGGTTCCACTGACGATGTTGAAGATTGCTCAAACTCCTTGTCGGGACATGTCTTCACTGCACTGGTTGTACCAAGCATAGAAGAGGTTGTTGCCTTTTCTTCATTGGTTTCCTAAAGAAAATAAGATCTAAAAATATTATTCTGTTACTATACTAAATAATTTAAATGATTAATTTAATAATTTACATCATTTATAGATTTGACCCAATAAATAGATAAAGGGAATATATATCACCTCATTAACAATTTTCATTTAAGGCCATGTTTTCAGCCTGTTGGTTATTCCACTCTTATTTTACTGCAATAATATACAGAATACATGGCAGCCAAAGCAGACAAAATTAGTGAATGTAATAAAACATTACTTACTGCAGATATAGCTTTCCATATCCGGGATCTCAAGAGGATGCCTTTAATACCTTGGGTTGGAATTAATTCTCCCAAAGCTTCATAACAGAGGTCTTTTAAATCCTCATTTGTCACACCACTACCTAAAAAAGGTAAGTAAATACTGTATAAGAAATCAAATTATATATCAAATTCTGTTTTATTTTTATCTGCATTTCTCGCACCTCAAACAACATTTTGGGTCGTCTTTTTCAACGGTTGTTAGCAATTTAATTGAATCAATATAGACTAGGCAATGAGTGATAAGGTCTGTGGTGTTCTTTCTTTCTTGATTTGTTGTTTTTTTCTTCTTTTTTTTTAAAAGAAAAAAGAATAATACTGTATATAATACATTTACTCTTTTCCATGAATCGGTACACATCTTAAAGTGTTGACAATCTACCCAAATCAATGGTGCGTAACCAACAAAAATAAGAACAGCTTTAGAGCCATAACAGAGGGTCGTATCACATTATTTTTCTGGAAAATGATCTTAAAGAATTACTGTATTCTACACCACTGAAATGTTTTTTGACCTCTGAAATCAAGACGAAAAATAGCCTCTTAAAGTGTATTAAAATTAAAATAAGCCTGTGCAGTATTTTAATTTCATTATTATTATTATTATTATTATTATTACAGCTTTTGCCAGGTCCACCATCAAGGTGTCAGCTAACTCTTGAGGTGCGGAACCCCATTCCGGGAATCACGCTCCCTCGTGCTCGTCAAAGGGAACGAGACTATGTACAATAGAACAGACTGTTGATTCAGTAAATATCGTTTTCCCTGCTCATCTTCTTTCTTGCCAATATCTTTTTGTTCAGCAATCGACTTCAGCGATAATTTTGAAGTTGCAAAGAAGCCGTTCGACGATCACACTCCTGTTTCTGACTATCGGTTCCAGATCTGGTAGTGGTATCTCCTCGTCTTCGAAATGCAGGATGAGCATCAACACATTTCGGTTCATGCCTTTTCGTGCCATGATCTCTTTGTTGGCGTGGCCAGATACGAATACACTTTTTTGACAGCCTGCCAATCCTTTTCATATTTGTATTTGTATTGAAATCTGTGATCTACTTCGAGCGTCATCTTGTCGGTAAGTTCCTTGTTCTCGAATCAGTGTCAACTTAAGTACCAAAAAAGTTTGCCCTCGTCATCGCACGTTCATTGTACCCAAGACTTGGCGGATGTTATCACTGACTAAACCTCAAAGGCCCCGTCGCAATGTCATCGCGAAAAAATACCGTACATATTCACCAGACAAAACATTTTTTATTTAGTTTTACTTGTCAATGAAATGGACGTATAAACATAATGGTATTAAAATAATTCATATTCATAAACCACACAATACACTTGCAGATATATATTATTTAGGATTGGTCGAGCTTTGGTAAAATTATTCTATTGTTAAGTCATCTAATGTGTCAGTTTTTTGAGGAGTCCGCAGACACTGGGATGACATTTTTCTTTATCTTGTATGTTTAAAATTGGACGTTAAAAAAACTGCATTGTTTTGAGGAGACATTTTGGATAAGATATGTTAAACACATAAAAACAAGAGAAAAATACTTCAAAAGAAGACAACAAATGTTTCAACTGGTAAATAGTCTCTCCTCCCAACATCATCAAAAATGATCCCTCAGCCTGCTTGATGTACAGGTTCATGTTGGAGTCCTGCAAAAAATTAAAATGAAAGTAAGTGTACTGTATGTCTGGGTAATGTATTGTTCCCTGAAATGACAATACAAATCTTAAAATTTATAATTAACTTGCTAATGTTGAAGCAGAGATCCCAAGTTTGAAAACAAAAAAATAGGGAGATTTTTTTCATGAAGCGATCGCCTCCTGTAGCGACGCACTGTGACGCTTTACAACGCGCTGTGCAACATGAAAGTATTACACAAAATGAAGAAAAGTAAATCAATTTGTTTACTTTTATTTAACAATTTTACATTTGTTTACACATTGCAGTTGGCCTAAAATATAAATTTATAAATATTATTATTTATTTAGCATTTTGCTAGTAAAGCGTTCTTGGCAGCAGTCAACAAGGCTTTGCTTGGTTCATTGGCATGTTAGAGGCTATGGCTGATTTATTACATCTCATCAAAAACATAGAATTCTAGCAAGGTAACTACAACTTGCAAGATTCACACGTTTGCTGAAAAATTTAAAAATATATATATATATTTTAATTTAGTTAGTAAATCATACTACATGTTTTAAGTCAGCATTTATATACGTCTAGTCTATAATAACTGGTACATAATGCCATGAAAAAACATTAAATCCTGCCTCGCTAGGCTCCATCTATACGTGCGTAACTAGGCCTAAGGCCGCAGAGTCACGACCACCACTACACACAGACGCCCACCCAACCCAACACACATACAGTACATACCATGCAGTGCAGATAGAGCCTAGGCCTAAGCCCTACATGTATTTCGGGATCGATATTAAAATAAACTTCATTTTTCGGAAGACTGCTTAGTACCAAAACCTATTAACTATACTTTTTTTTTTATTAAAGAACTGAGGCTTACTTGAAAGAAAAAGTATTTTTTTATGCACCGATTCTGTTCCAAATCTTCGCGGCGAAAACTTTGGGACCCATCCATTCCCATGTGATTTCTGATTTCGTTAATTTGTTGAAATTTATTTACTCAACTGACAGCCATCTCATTGAATGAGGTCGGCGCTGGATGCAAAAGATCGTAACATGGAGGATAAACAAGGATGGTTCTACCATGCCTGCCTTGCCCTGGAGTTGTTATTTTGATAAACAACTTAAATAACAACTCCCTGGCCTTGTTTATGACATTTTATGGCTGAGCGAGCGCCATAGTATATTGGCTTAAGATAAGAATTTTTGTTTCATTGCTCTATGACATCGTGGAAATCACATTTTTCGTGAAATTTTCGGTATATTTTTAAAAATCGGGAGATATTAATCCAAATCGGGAGGGCGGGAGACGGCCTCAAAAATCGGGAGAAACCCGCGATTTTCGCATAAAAGTTATCAAATTGAGCATAGAAATTTCTTTCTGCTGGGACACAGGTAAAAATTATACTGTAGATGGATGCCAGCCAATGGAGGTTTTTGTATGAATTTTAGCATTCTGTGGTGCAAAAATTAGGCTAAACAATTTCTTAATGCATTTATTTCTAAACGCAAGTTGGTAACTTTTATGATACTTTAAAATTAGCAATTTAACTTCAAATTTAAATTTTATAATTTCTTTGGTCATTTTCAAGGACAATAATCTTTAAAGAAGTTTATTTTACAAAATCATATTAAGACAAAACTTTTTATTTACCTTGTTTTGCGAACTTTTTGGGACAATCAGCTGAAAGGAGGTCGGAATAAATATAAAAATAAAATTTTATTTTTCAATTACCAAGTCCTATCTACTTTTATTATTTATTAATGTGAAAAAAAAATATTTAAAATAACATTTACTAACAATATTTTCATTTTCAGAAAAAATATTCATGAATCAGAGGTTGGAATAAATGTAATTTTAACATTTATTATTCCAAATTTTGAATTATTTTTGTCAAGGGTTCACTAACAGGCCAAAAATGAAATTTTATTTCTATTTCAAATCCTAATTTTCTGAGTCGGAGTGTTTGCAAAACCAGGTATAAAAAAGTCTCGTTTAAGAAATACCAAGACTTTTCACCTTACCTTTTCGGTTAAGAGATGGTCTAGTTTCTCCCTGAGTAGAATGGGAACTACTGTACTGCAATTGATGCACAGTATACTTTTCCTGTAATTAAATACAGCATATTAAAACTTGACAATACAATTTTTAATTTTTTTTTTTTTTCAAAATTGTGCAACTCACAACTTACATTTTTTATGTTTTAAATATATTCTTATGGCCCAAATGATTTTAAATATTTTTTACACTGTTAAACTATGATATCCAACAATTGTTATCTTCAAAATATACCAGACATACAGTAAAGCATGTTTTCCTGTTGGTCGTTCCTGTTGATCGTTGATTTGCAGTGAGTTGAGTTGAAAAATTGTTTAAGTTGAGGTATGCTCAACTTCAATGATTTTCAACACAACGCAACTCGCAGAAACTCAACGATCAACAGGCTTTAACGGCGCAACAGACTTTTCCTTATTAATTGCGCACATAGCGTTGTTCTAAGCGTGCCTTCCGACACTGGACAAATTACCTTTTTTGTTTCATTTTTGAGCAATGCTGGAGGTGGCATTTTTTAATCAATTTTCAGTTTTAAAAAAAAAACATTTTTTTGTGTATTCAAATTACATATAGTAATACAGTAAGTATAATTTACTATAGGCAATTAAATAAAATTCAAAATAGCATGTCAGAGGGGCTTTAATATATGTAAAATCTTGAAATGTAATGTATATTAATGTGTACCTTCTACAGTAGGTATATTTTTTATTATTGTACAGCTTAATGAATAAGAAATACATAATAGGTAAATAAATGTTGCATCTTGTGTATTTTCCAGGAAAAACAGGGGTTTACTGATTGAGGGTCCCTAAGGATCAAGCTTTTGTTGAAATAAAATAAATAGAATTATGTTGTTGTCAATCCACAGGACATTATTCTTTACAAAAAGGACTCATGTAATACTGTATGAAATACATTATATGGGGACTTGTGCATTGTATAAAAATCACAAACAATGGTGACTTTGAAGATCAATGACCATTGTAACTTATTCTTTTAACACACTAAAACACTCACCCTCTCGGTTTTCTTCATCTTTTTCCTGTGATGCAGCCATCACTAGGTTTTTATGTAATAGATTGTCCTCTTTCTTTGCAAACGCAAAGAGCTTGTCATGGTATCTGGCAATACCTGACTTGAGCTTCTTTGGCATTCTTTCCCTTGGTAGACATGTAGGGAGGAGCTGTTCACCGTTTTTTGGCCATTGTTTGCTAATTTCTAGAATTTATCAACCCGTAGTATTATGTTTGTACCATTATGTACACTGTTAAAAATTTTTCTGTAAATTTACACAACTTTTGTTGTCAAATAACAACTATTCTGTTGTTTAAAAATGTGCAATTGTTGTTTTTTAACAGAAAAAATGTCTGTAAATTTAAGTTGTGTAAATTTACATAACATTTGTTGTCAATTGTTTCAAGCACCAGTGTTGTAAAATAACAAATATTGTTTGTTTAAAAATGTGCATATTGTTGTTTTATAACAAAATGTCTGTAAATTTTGGTTGTGTAAATTTACACACCTTTTGTTGTTAATTGTTTCATGAACGTTAATGTACATTTACAGACAGTTGTTGTTTATAAATAACTAATTTGTGGAAATTTACATTTTGTTGTTGGTGGCTTCACAAAAAAAAATGTAAATTTATAGACAATTGTTGTGTATCAGCAACATTAGTCAGTATATTCACACATTTTTTGTCAATAATTCATTGTAAGTCAACAGACAGCAGTTGTACATTTAGGTAAAATCTGTACATCCACAAATGTCTTATATTAGGT